TAATAAGATTCATTCCTACTATGTCTCATTCTAGTCGTTTTATTCTTTATGAATGCGCACTTAGATTTGTATTCTTTCTAAAAATTTAAATTATAGATTATATGGCAGTAGTTCGGGTTGTGACTAGCCTCTTCCTTGCTTTAAAAAATGAAAAAAAAAAAAAATAAACAATTATATTTTTTTGTCTTCCACATACACACTAATAAACTCACTATCTTTCTTTTCTTTCTTCATTAAATGATGACGACTTTGATGACAATCTTGTTTGAGTTAAATTCGCATTTACACTTCTGACTGCGACAGATCATATTTGTTAAGACTGCAATAGCAACAAATAAAGCAGTGCTGCAAAGAAAAACTCTGGTATCAAAAATTTTAATTAATATTCTCTACTAATTGAGGTTATGGCTATAAAAGCAGAAAAATATTTTATGCTGACGATTTGACAGAAGATATTTTTCGAATAACAAAAGGGGAATGCATTTTGCAGCCAACTATAAAAACATGCTACCATTGCAATTCTTTTTTAGAACTGCGAACTAAAAAAACTGCAAACCTTATATGAAAGTTGATGTTCGACTCAAAGCAATTTCTCTGATATTATTGTTTTAATTTAAATTTCAGATGTGAGATGTCTCTCTGATCTTCTTTTTGTTTACAAATAAATTTCAAAATGCCGGTTTCAAGTTCCTGGTTTTGTTTTTTTTTTTATAAGAAAACAATGTGTTGACATTCTAATTTTGTTTTTTTGTATAAAAAAATTTAATGAAAATTTATTTTAACAATTTTAAAATTTATGTTTAATTATAAATTAAGTATGTGAAAACAGTATAAATTTTTAAAAATTAATAATAAATACACCAGCTGATGTTTCTTGCTTGAATTTTAAGGAACTTTTGAGAACTGAAGAAAAACAAAAAAAAATACAAAAAATCCTTTTTTGTAAAAAATTAAAATTTAAATACTTAAAAAATATTCATTAAATGAAATATGCGACAATTTGTTATTTATCATATTGGTTCGAAAAAATTTTTATAAAAAAAAAAAACATCGGCTCTTTATTTCATTTTTTTTTTTTAACTAATATAAAATTCAGGTTAAAATATCAAGGTTAATAGTTCGTAAACTTTAAAGGTACTTCTTGTTGTTTAATTTTTCTTTTTTTTTTTACTCGCTGTGTATGGTTGGTGTTTTTTGTGAACACCTTGGGTAATTTTTTAACTTCCTAAAATATTAATTAATTAATATATTATTTTTCCTTTTTTTTTTTTTTTTAATTTTTAAATTTGGAATTAGAAATTTAAATTAAAAATTTTCTTCTTTATAAATTTTTTCTCTTTGTTTGGTTGTATTTTGTACCTATATAAAAAGTTGTTAATTTGGCAGCATGTCAGAGTGGGTATAGGTTACCTTATTAAAAAAAAAACACAAAAAAAAACAAATGGTTTGTTTGTTTGTAAAATTTTTTTTAATTTAAGTTTAGATACGCTTTTACTGATAAGCTTCATTTATGTTCTTTGTATAGCTGTTGTTTTTGGCATTTTCTGGTCGGAGTCATCAAAGTTTTAAGTTCATGGCCATTATTTTCTCTAATATTAATTTTAAAATAGCGTATATGTTATTAATAATTTATACTGTTTTTTTTTTTTTTATTTTTCAATAAAATTCTTAAATATTTTGCGAAAATATTAAAAAAAAAAAAATTTTAATATTTAATTTCAATTAGATTTTTATCTTTTATTTTCAAAAAAAAAAATTTGATTAAAGATCTTTAGAAAGTTATTTGACATAAAAGAGTTGTAAAAAAGTTTTTGTGTACCTACAATTTTGGGTAGTTTTGGCGCCAGAATATATCAATATGCCACCAAGTCCAAAATACCAAATATGGTGATTATTAATGTAAATTCTTTATTTGAAATGATAAAAATCTCATTATTGTTGTTTTTTTTTTGTTTTTAAATAAATAAATTTTTTTTTTAAAGTATTTTGTAATTTATTGAATTTTATGTTTATTTTATATAATATAAATTCCTTCTTAAAATATTAAAATAATTTTCCAAATTGGAAAAGTATTGTTTTTTTCATACAGAATATATACGATCATTTTACTAAGTAATGGTGGCGCCCGCCGGTTTTGATTACAAATGAAATGGTTATATGTCATTCATTAAATATCGATGACAAATCTATTTAGATAAAAAAATTATTTTGATAGGTTGTATTCACAGATCGTTCTTATATAGGTTATAAATAATTTTGAATTTTATAGCTAATATTTTAAAGTAGGGTGATCTGTGATTTGGTTGATTATAAGATAATCCCATACTGGTACATGTGAAATTCACCCACAATAAAGATATTTATGTAGGTATGCTTAAGTATATATGTACGTATGTGATCTGGCCAATGGTGCAATGTTGCAGTGGCTTCGTCAACCGAACGGTCTTCAAATCCTGACCTACTCACGTCAGGTTACTATAAAAATTATATTCGCTAACAGCTTAATATACAGTATACTATAAAATTAATATAAAATTAATCCATATAATATTCGATTTTAAATTTGAATATTTCGGAACTTGTATTCAATATGAAAATTAAATACAATCAAACTAATTGTTGATCAAGCGAACACAATTCGAATAATAGTTGAACAGTCAATTACTACAATTAGACTACAGAACACCACTTTATTATATGTACTTCATAGACTCCAAGAAGGCTTTAAAAATAATTGAGCGCAATGCATTATATGGAAAGCACCAAAAGGCATTGTAACCCCAGACAAAATAGTCTGCATGATTGGAGCCATTGATAAACGAGCCATTCACCATTCAATCAGGAGTCAAACAAGGCTACCCACTTTCGCCTCTGCTCTCACAGACAGACAACATATGACAATAAACAAAAACAAAACTAAGGTAACGAAAATAAACTTCATTTGCACAGTCAGTCTGGAACTCAATGGCCAACAAATAGAATTCTTCAATAAGTTCTGCTACTTGGGTATGGTCATAATCCCTTATGACGTGGTCGAGGAAGATAAATATTCAAAGCGATTCAACTACGAATATTCTGTTTTTGTGTAGAAATGGTTCGAAACTTGACTAACATCAAAATTTGTTAGTCTGAATATGATGTTCGATATATAAAAGCAACGTAGACCTATGGATAATAACAGGCGAGGAACCTATCAGAAGACAAATATGGAGCAAAAAATGAGAAGATGGAACGGAAAAACAGTCTAAAAAAAACCTGCTAATAATATCTCTAGAGTGAGTTTTGAGTGAAACTCACAAGATTCAAGAAGACTCGAACACCCAAGAACTAAGAAAATCAGATAATTTTGCGGAACTAGAAAAATCGGATCTAACATGGAGTAAAGTCAAGCAAATAGCAAATAATAGCACGAGATGGAGAAGTCAACTGAAAGTCCTATATGTTTCAAAGAGGAGTAAGGAAGAAAAAAAAAAAGAATATTCATTTAAAAATAATGAATAATCGTGCTTAACTAATTGAAAATAAATTTCCCAACAAAATGAAAATTTAATATTATAAAACTTTAAAAACTATCAAATTACCAAATATTTTTCTATCATCAACTATAGGGAGTAATACTAGTAGTATAACAGTTACTTATTATAATTCGTTAATTAACCATCACTATATTATTATGCTACTAAAAATATTTCCAAAGAGAAAGAGAGCGGCAAAATAATAGAAAGAGAAAATAATTAAAAACCATAAAAATAAAAAATAAATAAAAAAATGTAATTAAAAAAAGAGAAGCTTTAAAAAAAACTTAAAATAATATTAAAGGAATTAATGACGTCATAGAATATTTTTGTAAACAAATAACAAAATATAAAATCATTAAAAACTCTTTGATATTTCTCTTTTTGAATTGAATGAACTGACAAACGAAAATATTAATGAAATATGTTTTACGATTTACTTAATTAAGTTTAGTGTTGCCGTTTTTATGGTTATGCACATAGTATTAATTAAAGAATAAATTAACATATTGATTAATTATTACTAGTTGATTTTTACATTCGTATGATAAATTCTTACAACATGGAAGCATCTTGAGCATTGCGCCCAATAAAATTAAAAAAATTCAATCGGGTTTTACTAAAAAATTTGTTAATCTATAATCAAAGACATAATAATTACTGTAATGTCTATAATGTCATTGCTATAACCCAATAAGAGTTTGTACTTTTGAATATTAATTTCAAAGGTTTTATATAAACTAAATCATCTGACCATTGGTGCAGTTGTCATGGCACCGGCCCTTTAATCGAAGGCTCTCGGGTTCAAACCCCGGTCAGGTCACTATAAAAATTATATTCAATATTATATAACTTAATACGCAATACTAATAAATATTATACAAGTAATTTCCAAATATTCATAATATTCGATACTAAAGACTAAGAAAAATAAACAGTAAATATTAATAAACTGAAATATTTAATATAAATAAAAACTACGGTAGGCTAGTCACCTACCTAGCTAACTCTCTATGACTATAGAAACTAGGGTATGATAGATACCATGCACTAGCCCTATACTCCTCGTAAGAGTGAAGAAGGAGAAAAAAAAATATAAACTAATGAGAGAATTCTTGATTATTATCGTGTCTATGCCAATATAGAATTAAAATAATTATGAAATTAATTTAAAATCATTTACAAATTTATAAATGAGCCAAACACTCACAAAATAAAAAAAAATTTAAAAGAGAAATTACTTTGCGCCTATTATAATCTTAAAATGTAGTAAAATATACTGTTAAAATAATAATTCAGTAATACTAACAAAATTATAATAAATAGGGAAAAAAAAAAATTCACTGTGGGCGCTCTCAATCTCTCTCTGTCTCTCTGTCTTTCTCTTGTTTACAATTTATATTCTTCTACATTATTTGCGATCTTTTATTCATATATAATGCAATGTCCGGTGCGATCTTCAGCTCATTTCGTATTGAGATTTTAAACATTGTGGTAGTTAAAAAAATTTGTTTTTTTTTAATAATTTCGCAGCTTTTATTTTTTTGTTTTGCTTTTTGAATTTTCTTAAATTTAAAAGAAAATAATTTTTGATATTTTAATTTAAATATTGAGAAAGTGAAAAGAAAGGTATATACTTAGCAGAAGAAAAGAAAAACATAAAGAAAAAAAAAAAACAAACAGGTGAAAAGAAAAATTCATTAACTGTTAGAAAGGCTTAATTTTTTTTTTCTTTTTGATTTTTAACTTTCGAGATAAGATTTTTAAGTAAAGAAAAAAAAAATACACTAACAATAATTAAAGAAAATTAAGCGCGTGCAATATAAGAAAGTTGCAAGTCAAATTGAACAAGAAAATAGAAAGAAAGAAAGAGAAAAACAAAAATTAAAATCGCGAAATCAAACGCTAATAAATTGTGTAATTTGAAAGGTGCTGTCTGTGTACGTAGTACGTACAGGTAAAAGTAAATAAAGAAAAGTTAATTAAGAAAATTAATAAAAAAAAAAATAAAGGAATTTTGGTTTTTAGTGAAAATTAAAGGAAGATAAAAAGAAATTAAAAAAGAAGAAAAAAAATATTAGAAAACTTTTTTTTTTCTATTACATGAAGTGAAATTATTTTTTTTTATTTTTTTTTGAATTTTAGGGATTTTAAGTGGAAAAATTTTCACGTTACACGAATTTTCTTTAAAAAAAAAAAAGTGTTTTGGTTAAATAACATTTTCATTTTTATTTTTTTATAAAAATTTAAAAAAAAAATTCAATTTAATCATGGCTAGTAAAATTTTAATTTGTTTAATGTTAACATTAACAATAACACAATTATGTTATGGTTCAGCAATTCCAATGTGGGAATTTTTAAGTCGTAATGAAAAGGTAAGCAGTAAATTTCGATAATTTTTTTTTAATTAAAATTTACAAAATACTAAGTATATTGCATTGATATAAGAAATTGGCAAATAATATTATAATAGACCCTTTTTACAATATTAAGAGAATTGAAGATTAAGTTATAAATTAATTAAAGAGTGCACTATAGCTTATATATGAGAAAATAACACTGTAATGGAAAAATTATTTTTGAAATTTAAATTTTACTAATATTTATGTATATTAAAAATTCTATATTAATTTCTTACTACAACTTAGAACTCAATAATTGAATAATCGTACCTACATAGGCATAAATTTTCGCATTATGTAATAATATTAATTTGAACTAGAAATGGGGTTACCATCAGCAGACGATGGTATACTAATAATATTGATAATGATGATATAAAAATAATGTTATACTGAAGAGATGATTTCGAATACTAAAGCGAAAATATTTTAAATTCATTCTACATATAAGTGTACTTAAGTATAAATTGTTTACTTCTAATTTGAATTTCATATACTTATTTTCAAAAAAAAAAATATTTATTTGAAAACAATATTAAATAATTGTTTAATTTCGCACTAAATATAATTAAGAATATTGCAAAAATATAAAACTCTATATGTACCTATGTATGTATGTAAAAAAAATTTTACTATTCAAATATTATTTAAATAACATAAATAACATACATACATACATACAAGTATATAACTGTATAGTATCCGAAGTATAGATCGTAATTTTCTATAACTGGTTTTTTTTATTTAAGAAGTTTTCAATTTATAATTGCGAATAAGAAAGCAAGAAATTTTATTTTAAAAACTGGAATTTTTTATTTTTGATCTTGAAATATTAAATGGGTATGTATGTATGTATGTATGTAAATATTTTTTTTATAATATAAATATAATTCTGAATCATATTTTGACAATTTTAGTATATCACGCATATACAGTGATGATTTTAGTAGTATCCATTATTGCAGATTCTAATAATTTTTAAGCATGTTATTAGTTTTAGAAGTTTTAAAAACCTTAAATATACACAATAGTATAGTTTATCATATTTTCAAATAATTGTTTTATACTAAATAAGTATACAGGGTAGGGGGCCTTATTAAATAATTCGTATTTGCAATAATCGAAAGGTAGTACCTACCCAACATACAAATTGATTAGTACTACCATACTATTTTTGCGAATATTAAAATCGAATTGCATAGTAAGACCCCAACTCTATATTTCCAAATTATTGAATTCATATATTTTGGTTTAGTCTAAGACACATTTTGAGTTTATATTTATATTTAGACTTACATAGATAAAGCACACCGAAAATAATTGTTATACTTAAATTTCTAACTATTATAAGGCTTGGGATTATGATTAATTTTTAGTAGGTACATTAAATTTTTTTTGTACCTGCTTACTGCTATAGAGCAACAATTTGATTTTAAATTAAGTACAAAAGAAATTTCCCTAACATTCACTCAAATTTTTAAATTTATATATAATATAAATAGTTTATATACTATGTTGTAGTATACATATGTAGTAGTCTTGTTATATTCAAAATTTTTTAAGTATTTAAGTATATAGATTACAGTAAAATATTTACAATTTATTATTAAAGTTTTGAAAACTCATTCATTTTATTTATTTAAAAAATTTTTCAAATAAATAATTTAAATTTATTTTTTAAAATATTATACAATATAAAAGCGTATTTCAAAATTTGATTCGATAATGTTATACTGGGAATTTACTCATAATACACGTTTCGTTTCATTTTATCAATAAAATACATATTTGCATATGAATACATTAATTTATTGGGCTACCAGATCACAATAATAATGATTATGTTGCTATTGATTATGATTATGATGATGATGATATAATAATATCACAACTCTGTTTATATATAAGTAGTATAATCAATAAATTTAATCTTTTTGGCTGTTATGATTCTTGTTTTCCTTAATAATCTGAAAATATTGCATATATGTAGGTACATTTTATATTGTTATATACCTGTATCGTATAATATTCTTTTCTAATACCGTTAATATAAAATTCTTTATATATAACCATGTACATTTATATATGAAACAAAAAGTTCTTAAAGATGATAAATTGATATTTTTTTTATATAAATATTTATGTATCAATGTTCATAAATATTTAAACCGGATGAGGTTCTTTATAAAAATCGAAATCACTTGTTGTATAATAGCTAGTCGTTCTTTTTAAATATATATATACAAGCAAACATTTACAGTCATAACACTTTTAAATTGAATTGAAATAAGAACCTTTAAAAATATACAAAAAAAAAACTTTCAAATACTGATTTCGATATAAGATCTGTGTTGTATCATGTGTGTGTGTGTGTTTATAAAAATTTATTGGGAATCATTTAAGAATCGTTTTATCAGAAGATTTATGATATGAATTTTCTTTTTATTCTCTTCTTTCTTTTTTTTTAGTTTTTATATTGGTAGAAATTGAAATTTAGTTTACGGACTAAAAAACCGAATTAGAAATCAGAGAGACCTGTTGAAAAATCTTGGCTTCAAAATTACATCGGCCGAAACTTTTATAAAAAAACTGTTTTGCAAGTAAGCTCTGAATCTTAACGTGCAACTTGTTTAAAAAAAATGCACGGGGGTTAATTGTAAAAAATATTACAATTAAAGAAAATTTATAGCTCAAAATTCTTGAATACCGTTACCTCACAGTTTAAATTACAAACTGTTTGATTGTTTAATTGCATACGGTCATAGAGTTGTCTGTGTGTGCGCTTAAAAACAAACCTATGGAGTACAAATTAGCAATACAACAGTTGCAAAACTAAAAATTTCATATCTGCCTGATCCTTAACCCTGTTAATTTTCCAAAAATTGAAATTTTGAAGAATTTAATTTTAGAGGAACTTTGTCAAGAAATCCTAATATTTTATTACTAAATTGCAAATATATGACTGTTATAAAATCTTTATATTGTAGACTCTCTTCATATTTGAATTAATATTATATACCTCATCTAAAATTTTTTACAGAATATTATGCAAGAAACTGTTATATGGCCGTTTTTACATTTTTTTCCAAAAAATATTTCACTTTAAATCAAACGAATATATCAATATTCTAACAATTGGTCAAAATGGAAACAAAAAGTATATTCTTACTATACTAGTATGTAGTACGTAAATGTGAAATGATTACCTACAATTTCTATGAACAAATCCTATTAATACTAAAATATATTGGCAAATACTATGGGTCTACACAATATAGTGTATCATTTGGTCATATAGTGGTTTTATGTCATATATGTATATATATATATAGTTAATATAATATAAAAATGAATTTAATTTTATGGACGAATGAGACTAAGCTATACAAAACTAAGTATATATATGCATGCAACTCAATTGTATAAACATTAATACCATGAGTTTCGGAAAAAAATAGAAATCACAATACAAAATTTATTGGACAAATTTACTAAAAGTTTAACCTATACTATTTTTATGTTTGAATAGTCATTATTGTGAATATTATGCTGTATACAATACTATGCGAGTATCTACTTACATATATACTATAAAATATTTTATTTCATATAAAGAATAGACGACGTTGATCACACTCACTAGTATATTAATACCAAAGTGGACTTTGGTTTAATGTTTACATATATAAAATGATTTCATATTGATTTTATTCACAATACAATTTATGTACAGTCAAATATTTATACATAATATACATATGCGTACATATGTGCTTGATTATACAATATAACAGTTTAAAGTGAAATTTATATAAGTATAAAGAAATCGATTTATTTTGACTTTAAGTTGGGTATTTATATTTGAATTGATGATTTTTTATTTATTTATTGATTTTGATATTTTCAGTATCACTCTGGATTTAAATAAATTGGAAATTTTGAAAATATTAAAAATGCTATCCTAAAAGTATTGTAAAGTTGAAAAGTAAATTTCTCTAAAAACTGAGATTTTTTAAGATTTTCTCTGAAAGGGAATTTTTAAAAGTAATTTCAAAAATTTTAAGTATTAATTATATAGACTTGTGGGATTAAGTCAACAATGGAATTTTTCAATAATTTTAGGATTTTGCTCTATTGTGATTTGATAGAAGTTACAAAGAAGTTAGTGCGAAAATTTATTTTGAATTTTGCTGCATGAATCACGAATATTTAAAATTTTTGTTAACAAAATTTGATTTTCAATTCGTAATTTGTCGTATGACACAAATGCAGGACTTAGAACTGAATGTAATGAGGTAAAAAGTGCAAATAGAGTAACATGATATTTTTTATTTTACGCCCTTCGGTTGAAAACATACTTATAAATGTGTTTTTGGTACTTATATTCAGATACTAATTGAATAGACCTTGCAGATCATAAAGATCTGATTTAGCATTATTTTCTATATCAAATGTACTTGTAAATGACTCTCGTTCAATAAGAGTTGGGGGTTTTTTTCTGAACTCGCTGTAAATAAATTCGTCATTTTTCCGAAAAAGCTGAACGTATTGTTTCCACTTGTTTTAAATCAAAAATTTTCTTTTTTCGATTACTTTTGGAAATTTGCACCATAAGACTTATTTAATTTAGTTTCTTGATTTTCTATCCTTATCTTCAGATACTACTCGCAGAGCTCGGTCTTATATTCCGCTCTCCTCGTTCACATTACCATAAACAATTACTACAATTCGCAGTTTTGTAAATTTACTTCAATTAAATAAGTAGTATAATAACATTGTATTTAATATATTTATTGCATATTAATGGTTGTAAATATATAGTTTATTGTGCTTTTTGCATATATATACATATATAAAATTATATTTTATTTAAATTTTAAAACTAAAATCAAAACTATACGAAAAAATCCTCTAAAATTGCAAATATTTATAATGAATTAAACCGGTTTTAAATCTCTATGAATATTTATTTG